GCGGCGCCGGGCGCCGCGGGGACACGGGCGGCCGCGTCCCCCTCCGGAGCTGGGGGGCTGCTGGAGAGGGGACGGTCCCTGCGGGGGCCTGGGGTGCTCCGGATGCCACACGGGGACGTGGGGCACCCCGGGGTGCTGTGCAGGGACACCCCGGGGTGCTGCGTGTTTGGGGATGTGGGATACCCTGCGGTGCCGCTTAGGGATGCTCCAGGGTGCCCTGTGGGGATGTGGGGCGCCCTAGGGTGCTGCGTGGGGACGGGGGGACATGGGACACTCCAGGGTGCTGCGTGGCGATGCAAGACACCCTGGGGTGCCGCGTGGGGCGCTCGGGGACACAGGATGCCCTGGGGTGCTGCAGTGGGACACAGGATGTCCCAGGGTGCCGCGTGGGGCGCTCGGGGGTGTGGGAGGTCCCAGGGAGTCGCGTGGGGTGTGCAGGGATGCAGGATGCTTCTGGGTGCTCCACAGGGACACGGGACACCCTAGGGTGACACATGGGTGCTTGGGGACACGGGAAGCCCCAGGGTGCTGCATGGGGATGCAGGATGTCCCAGGGGGCCACGTGGGCCACTCGGGGATGTAGGACGTCCCAGGGTGCCGGGTGCAATGTGCAGGGATGCAGGACGCTCCCGGGTGTTCTATGGGGACATCGGGCACCCCAGGGTGCCACATGGGACGCTTGGGGACACAGGACACCCTAGGGTGCTGCAGGGGCATGCGGGAATCCCCGGGGGTGCAGGATGTCCCGGGGTGCCGCTTGGCTGCACAGGGAATCCCCCGGGTGCCACACAGGGATGTGGGAATCCCCGGGATGCAAGAGAGCCCGGGGGGTTGTGGGTCACCCTGGGGTGTTGCGGGTCACCCGGGGGTGCACAGGGACATGGGTCACCCAAGGATGTTTCGGGCCACGCCAGGTTGTTGCGGGTCACCCGGCGGTGCACAGGGACATGGGTCACTCCAGGGTGTTTTGGGTCACCCAGGGGTGCACAGGGACACAGGTCACACTAGGGGTGTTGCAGGTCAACCCGGGGGTACACAGGGACGTGGGTCACCCTGGGGTGTTGCGGGTCACGTGGGGGTGCACAGGGACATGGGTCACCCGAGGGTGTTTCGGGCCACCCCAGGTTGTTGCGGGTGGCTGCGGGGTGTCGCGGCTGCCTGTGCGTGCAGCGGAGGCCGGGGGTGAATCACGGGGTTGCGCACCCGGCACAGCCTGGCGGTTGTGAAACGGTGCCGGGTGCCTGTAGCCGCAGGTGTGCCCTGATTGGCTGGGGATGGTTGTTGGGACAACCGCTCCGGGGGCTGATTGGTCAGCAGCTCCATGGGGTTGGACTGCTCTGCATTTTGATTGGTCAGTGGCTCCAGGGGCTGGGCTGCTGTGCTTGCTGATTGGCCAGCGACTCCTGAGGTTCAAGCTGCTCTGTGTGCTGATTGGCCAAGTTTTGGGGTGTTGGTCTGTTGCTTGGTGCTGATTGGCCAGCAGCTTTGAGGGGAGAAGGAGGAGGGGCCACCCTTGTCACTGATTGGCCGTTGTCTATAGGGGACAGGCTGCTCTCTGAGCCAATTGGCTGGGGGCTTTCGAGGCAGTGAGCTGTGCTGCATGCTGATTGGCTGGCAGCTCAGTGGTGGTCAGCTCTAGGTGCCAATTGGCTGCTGGTTCAAGGCAGGGTGGGATGCTCTGCATGCTGATTGGCCGGGCACTCAGCGGTGTGCTACTCTGGGTGCTGATTGGCCAGCAGCTCGGGGCAGGAGGGTGTTCTAGGTGTTTATTGGCCGCTGCCTCGCGGCAGGGGGATGTTCTGAGTGCTCATTGGCCGACAGCTCAGCGCAGGGGGATGCTGGAGATGCTGATTGGCCAGGCAGGGGGGCCGGGGCTGCTCTGCCCCCAGCCCTGGGTACCCATTTTGGGGGCTGTGGGGACAAGGGGGGGACCCCCCCGGTGCCACTCACATCGTCCCCCTGCAGAAGGACCTGGGCTACCTGCGGCAGGGGCTGGGGGGG